CTGCCGTACCGTCTTCCCTCCTCCCGAGTGTGGACCTCGCGGACTCCGCCATCGTCACGTTCGCCCCGACTCCTTTTATACCCCCCTCCCCCCTCCTCTCGCGCTCTTCCCTCCGTGCTGCGTCACCCTCGCATGCAGCAGCTACGCGAGCACGCGTCTTGTTCTACAGGTAACGAACCTGGCCGACGAGGAAGGGAATATCACGCTTTCGTTGGACCAGAAACGTTGAACGATCGATCGTGAAGCACCGGACGTTCTGTCGCGAGTTAATTAGATTATTCGGAACAATCGCGTCCACGTAAAGCGGCACGAAGATACGTATGAATAACAATTAAATCGTTCGTGTTAAGATCGTGACGCTAAAGTAGAAGCTTAAAGTGAGAAAAAGGAAGCCATTTAATTCACAAAAGAAAAATTCATAATTAATGGATTTAAGACGATCGAAAATACGATAGTAAATTATTGTAAAATATATGGATAACATAAGTAAAACATAAGAAAGAGATTTGAGCGAATTTGACTTTGTTATCTTGTATTTCTGAACCGAGATGCGGCGTCATTAATTTATCCCGCTAAGCAACTTGTCGGACAAGTTGCCGAACCAAACACTTTATCGATAACTCCGGCCGTATTTTCGCTCAGTAGGATTGCTATTTTGTCTATCTATCGCGAGATGGGATAAGTTTGATCGGTAGTGCATTAATAACTCTGCGGAAGAGGTGTGAAATGATGTACCTCGCGTCTTCTCATCTAATTCCAAAACCGAATAAATCCCGCCTTTATCCGCTATCAGAACCGATTGCAACGCTGCAAAAACTGAGTATCACATTTCTCAGTTAAATTCCATTTTTTTCGTTATTGTTCATTAGGATCAATTTGCCATTATTTCTAATCTAACAGAATGTGTGTTATCGTTACAATTAGCGTTCTTTTGTTACAGTTTCGTTTATTATTTTAATAAAAACCCAAACGGCATATATGAAACTGTCTTGGAAATGTATTCCTTTTGAATATTCTTGTTGCTTTTCCACTTCTTCCTGCGAGAGGAAATAAATCGTGCAGTTAGTAGCCTGCACGTATGACATACTATCTTGAATATGCGCATACATCGTAAGACGCATGCGTATTCTAGGAATCGCTTAATGCGCGATCTGTCGCTGGGCAAGCTCGTCTTCTCGTAATTGATTTCTTCCTTTATTTTCTTCCTCTCTAAATGTCCACTCGATTCATTATAATTTTTTTTTGTCCACCGCATACCACAGCACCGATATGATTCGCGTGTTTTTAACTTTATGCGGATATTTTTGCGCATCTACATACGGCAAAATCTCGCTACGGATTTTCGAAAATCTGGCTTTTCAAAAAACTATTTTCGAATGAAAAGCGTATCACGAGCAAAAATATCCAAATTTTTTCATGTGTAATTTTTCCAAATAAATCTAGCGTTGCGGCAATTATTTTAAAATATTAATTATAAAAATTTTAAATATCCGGAAAAATTTCGATTTTCAAATACTTATTAACACACTTTTATTAATAACTTAATGTTAAATGTTAGAAAAATATATTTTAAAGCACATCTCTTGTAGATTACGGAAACTATTTAGCTGTAGGAGGATCAAAATGAAAATGCAAAAGAGATGTTACTAGAGTTCTTGATGAAATTCTCGCGTAGACGTAGAATTAAGGTACGTCTTAACGATAAAGGTCAAGCAGCAGGACTTCCCAGATGTCGCCTGTACAAGGTTTTTCTCTCGCCATCACCGCTGCGACGGGTTACTCTTCCGCGAACACGCCTTCATCTTGGAGTTAAGGAACGAGCTTGCCAACTGGCCCTCGTACAAGAGATGACGCATATACTCCTTCCTGGTCGGCCCTTTTCTATTACAAGACGAAGTAGAGGCGACAAGAAGAGGTGGAGAGAGAGTTCTAATCAAGGTGGCTTGCTGGAACTTTTAACTCCTTTCGCTCGGAACGAGATGTCGAGTTCCAGGTACGTCGATCTCGCGCACCGTGCTGCAGTAAGCTAAGCTCCAAGGAAGATTATAGGGTGTCTGCATAGAGATGGTCCGAGTTTGCCGCGGAGATGATACCGGGAGCCTCTCGTTGAGATGGTGGTGGAGAGTGATTTTCGAGGATAAGCCCGAGCAGGATCATAAAATTTGTCGATTAAATAA